AGGCCTCCTCTTAAGATAATTTCCTTCCATCCCGTAGTAATTGGGTGGTCTGAACTCATGTAGAGGTCTCTTATCCTTGGAATGTATTCCAATGGATGGTGGTTTAGCCAAGAATAGCTGTTGTCTGGGACCAATTGGGTATGGCCTCTTGTTGTAGGTATTGGTTGACTTAGAGCGTCTTTGTACATTCTTGTAATACTATTTCCCATCAATTGGGAGCCCTTTCAACCATTTGTAACTAAGCCTGCATCTGGGACACATCTTTTGCATGACAACTGCCTTAAGAGAGTCACCATCCAGCGCCTCCTCACTAGAATCATCATTTTGGTCTGCAAAGCTCTGTCCATTTGCTGGTGAACTTCTGGTATCCTTCTTTAAAGTAGTCTGGCTGACAACATGCACCTGCACATTAACCTCCTTCAATTCCTTCAAAGATAGGTTTTGAAAATCTAGCACACCAACATTGGCTGTAACTTCCCCAATCTCTAGGAATGGGTCAGTGTCAATTCCCATAGCTTTCTCTGCTTTGGTTGGGAACTTTAAACTCCCCTTTCGAATTTATTCTTAGATCCTGTCTAGAAAAATAATACGGTTTTTAGTTGAATGAGACCAAGAATTCTGCCATTTACAGTACATTTTCTCTTTAAGTTCTTCTGGGGTCAGGATCTTAACCCCCTTTGGTAATTTTAGGAAATTTGTTGCAAGCAAATGATCAAAAATATCATTTGCTTTTGTTAAATTAAAAGAATACTTCCTATGAAGGTCTTTCTTTTTAAATTGTTGGTCTATTATAGTGTCCTTATGAATTAACGCTTCACAGGTCATAGGCTCTTTTTCTTTCCCTACGATCTCTGCTGCATCAATTTCATAATTAGAGTCCCTATAATAAGTCTTATATGATGCATTACTTCAATCCAGTTCTTCCTCAAGTAAAGATTCATATCTAGACACTTTATAGGTTAATTTCACTAAGTCTCGAAACTCAATTGAATCGAACTTCTTTCGAAGCCTAAATTCTAAACCACTTTGAGCCAATCTCACAAATTTAGGCTCTGGTAGAATGACCATGCACTTGTTTCGTGCTCTTTTGAATCTGGCAATAAATTGAGCAGCCTTCTCATCAGGCCTTTGGCTCAACCTTGCCAAATCTGCCATGAAAACTTTAGACTCTGTTTGGAAGAATTGGGCATGAAATGTCTCTTCCATTTGCTGTCAAGTTTGGATAGAACCAGGTATAAGATTAATATACCATACAAAGGCCGCCCCAGTTAAAGAATTTGGAAAGAGTCTTAATTTCATACAATCATTATTGGTAAATTCACCACATTGACCTACGAGCCTGGCAATGTGTTTTACTGTTGACTGGTTTCCATTTCATAAAATAGAGCAAAGTCTGGTATTCTAAACCCCCTTGGGTATTCATTCACCCTATCCACCCATTCTGGGTATGGCTTCCTATACACTGGAGTCTGAACCCCCCGAGCCATAGGTCCACACATTTTTGTGACAATATCAGCAATTTGGTCCCTAGGAACCATATTCTGTGCTTGTTGGACTACTACTGGAGGAACAAACATAGGGTTTGGTGGAAACCCATGTGCTTAATGTCCTTTTGGTCCATAGGGAGATATATTTGGGACTGGCTGCTGTTGAGGGTATGGTTAGCCTCTCTGAGCTTGTCCTGCGAGAGGACTTGCGAAAGGTGTTGCAATAGGAGGAACAGGTATTGTTTCTCTCCCAGCCGCGGGAAACCTTTCTAAACCCCCGAGTGTGAATTCGAACAGAGGATTAGTGAACCGCCTTGTGCCAGGCATGGCTTTAAACATGGGATTTGGAAACATTCTCATGTCATTTTCTTGTGTTGGCCCAGATTCACCAATTTGTATGACTTCGCTGTTAGGTAATGAGATATTTTGATTTACCACAAGCCTTAAAAGAGGCTCATACCATGACTGAGGCATAGGTGATGGTCTTTCATAATTTTAATTACTAGTTTGACCATTAGTATGTCTACTACTTTGTATACGCTATTTATCTCTAACCAATCTTTGCTGAAGAATATTTGAATTTTTCTTCATATGCCTTGTGCTAGTTAGTTGATGGGAATTCATTCGATCCATAAAGGATGTTGCCCATCTTTCCATTATATACATTAACCACTATCCCATGGCATCTACCAAGCCTCCCCATGGATTCATTGGCTAGGTAGATGGAATAGTGAATGGTCAAATTCCATGGCCTCATCCAATTTTTTGAACATGCGGTGCATGTTCTGAGTTGTTGGTTTGTTCGACCATAGGTTCTAATGAGATAGATGCTTCCATAGGATGTGTTATCACATTATCCTCTAGATCAGGTACCTCTACCTCTACCTCTACCTCTCCCTCTACACCTTCTTCCAGGCGTTCATTTTCTCCCTGTCTCCTACGTCGAGCCATTTTAAGATCCCACCAGGCGTGCCAAAAATATATATTGGCTTTTTGGCTTTCGAAGGTTAATAATGTAATTTTAAGCGTGCCAACAAGGATCAATTAGTCTTTACAGAATATTAATTGCTAGCCAATTATCAGACGATTGTGTTATAGTTCCTTCAGTCTTAATGAAGAGGACTTTTACTGGTGGCTTGTTTAGGAGAATTTAGTAAATAACAACAAGTGAAGAACAATTTCATAATCTGAATTTCATTAAGTAAAATGAAAACTTACAATGATCTGACCCAGCCTCGTAGAGGTTTATAGCAACAAACTATTTGAAACTACTCATAGGAAATGAAGTGCAGTACAGGAATTCAAGTGTAGAAATGTAAAGAACTGGAAAAACTAGAAGGAAAAAAGAAGTAAATAAATTGGTTTTTTTATCTAAGTTTGCGGGTTCATTTTGGGGCATTCTCTGCTATTTATACTCTTCAATGATAATCGTCGAAGTGATCTTCTAACCGTCGAAATGTTCCCCCATGATTGCTGAATATGCTTTCTTATAGTCAGTTATACTATTCCACTATTGCAGATAGGCTTCCCTCCTGATTTTGAATTTAAACTTTATAAGTAACCGTTAAGTCACATCATCTTGTACTTCTCAATTGTTCAAGTGCTACGCAGATCCATTATTACCAATATGAACTGCCACGTGTCTGACTTTGGTAGGCAACTTGTATTAATTCTCCAAATTGCCCTTTCCATACCACGTATTAAATTGTGATTACCAATATGCAGATCCATTTTTCTTTTTTCTTTTTTTGATCCACACAAAAACTTTATTAATGAGGGAAAACCTTACAAGGAAGAGAGATATCAATAAATATGGGAGGAGGGAGGGTGGGGGGATGATGAAAAGGCCAACATAAGCCAGCACCAACCTAACAACTATTGGTGAGGGAAACAAAAAAATGCAGCAGAATCTTCTTGAATCAGTTAATGCACAGGTAGGAAATGCTAAAATAGGTATTGCACTGAACCACCTAAATCAGATATTGCACAAGCAGGCCCAAAACACATCTACCTCAACAGACCGCAAAACAGCAGCAGCCTAAACACACAAGATAGTAGCAGATCAAGATACCAAGCCTCAAAACAGAAACAGATACAAAGTGAGCACAGGTCGCAGGACAACCAAAATACTCTTCTTACAGCCAGAACTCAACCTCTAGGACAGTTTTGCCCAAACAATCCAAAATGCCACCCACAACATCAGAACAGAAACAGATTGCAGCTGAACAGATGGCAAAACTCAAATTTAAATCTGAACAGATTGCAGATCCATTTTTCTTAATACACTTTTTGAAATAAATATAAAATTTTAAATCTTTCATTTCATTTTTTTTTTCTTGCCATCACCTTAAGATGTAAAAACTCAAATTTGTTGTCCACCATCAAAACTCAAATGCTATCACGACGTCATGTTCTTTATACAATTAAAATCTATCACAACCATCAAACTACATATAAGAAAATAGAGATAGAGGAGTGAAAGAGAGACAAAAAATAAAATTGTTATGTAATCGGACAAACTCTGATAGGATGAATTATAATTATGAATTTCATAGACAAAATGTAAAGTATATATATATATATATATATATATTTTAATTTTAGCAAATTTAGTTGTTTTAATTTTATCAATTTAATTATAATATATGTATTTATTATATAATACTTTGGACAAAACAATAATAGAAACAAAAATAATAAATAAAAAAATTAGCCCATGTTTGTGATGTTTTCCTTTTAACTCCAAAAAGCTTTAGTTAAAAAGCTAAAATGTATTTGCCATGTATCTAAAAAAAAATAAAAATAAAAAATTGAAAATTTTGAACCGCGGCTAGAATTGACCAACAATCCTCTTGAGTAGGCACATGATATAGTCAGTCAAGTTTTTCCATAAAATTAATAAACTCATTCATAAACACAGAATTTATTTTTTGTTATCTCCTAAAAAATCCAAAAAGTCATTTAAAAACTAATTTCAAACCACCAGTAAGTTAAAAATAATTAAGACTTACTTATTCTTATTTATTGTTTGTTCTTTTTAAAATTATTTTATTATTAATAAAAAAATAAATTTATTAATCATTGTTTATTCATGTGCATAGCACATGTTATAAACTAATATGTAATTTTTAGGAAGAATAACACCACAATAGTGTTAGAGGAAAAGTATTACAAAATTATGAAATAATTTATATATTTTAATAATTAAAGTATTATACCTTTTTCATAATTTTATAATATTTTTCTTCTCACACTCTTGTTGTGTTATTTTCCCTTGTTTGTGTGAGTGAAAAAAGTGATTATGTTTCAACTGGTTGCAAGGTTGAGAGAGCAGGACATGGAAGTAGGTCTTTCGTTGGAGGATAAGTATGATATACAAGAAATTTCTCAAAAAATAGTTCACCAAATAAGTTATTTGCGTTTTCAAAAAAATGGAAATGAAAATAAAAATAAAAATAGATAAAAACAGAAAACAAGCACAATACCAAACACTTAAGATTCTTCGACTATGGATTAATGAAACATGCCCACCACCAACTTTTTTTTGGATGAGTCAGATTTATTACCAACAAATAAAAAAACAGAAAAATAAAAAAATAAAATGGTATGCAAGATAGCTGAAGACAAAGTCCTAAAGGGCAACAAGTAAGCTCATAGGAAAACTTGACAACAATAAAAAAATCAAAACCTAAACTACTACATGGGATTCCAACATACATTCATAACCTAGGTTAATAAATCTTAATTTAAGGAAACATTTACTTAAAACAACTTCAATTAGATAGTGGAGTTTAAGCTTTCATAATTTTCTCAGCCTTAGTAATGATCGAGAAATCATCTTCCTGATGATCTGGCTTATTGTCCATCAATTTCCAGGAGTTCAAGAAATAATCTTTGAGATGATCTGGCTCATGGTCCATCAAATTCCAAGAGCCATCCGTCTGTTGAACCATGCCCTTGTTCTTTTCAACTCGCCAGGAAGGTGGTATTAGATATTCATCTTTTAAAGCATCCAATGATTTGTTAACAAGTGCAATATCTCGATCAACTTCCAACTTGAATCCTCCATTTGATCCTTGTGTACCTGCAACACCATGAAGGTAAGCCTCCAAGTTATGCCAACTTTGCAGATTTCCAGGACGCTTCAAGTACTCCGACTTGATTATATATGCAACATATATTATTTATAGTACATAAACCCATATTAATATAAAAGTATATATATAAACATAATTATTTTTTATTAAACATAATTTATTTAAAATAAATAAATTATTTAGTAGAAATTGGCACTTCTTTCTAAAAATCAGTTTTTCAAAACGATTTGCCGGATTTGGACTCTTTGGTGATTTATGAATCTCGCATAGCATTTTGTGAGATCAGATTAAGAACCGTGACATTGAGTCCGAACTGTAGTGAGCCCAATGAACAAAACGGGATTTTCCCGGGACGTTCAGGCGCGTCTACAATACTCTCCCAGTGTGAGATTCTCACTGCCACCCTTATACCTCCCAATTCCATTAAGCAACCAAAATACCTCCCGTGCCACATTAGGGTTCGAAAACACGCTTACACAAGACTTTACTTCAAATAGAGAATATGTCCCGCCAACCAATTCAACTCGAATACAATATTTTCTCATAACATTATTCAAATGATCAAAACTCAGTTACCACCCCAATTAAGTTTCCCGTTGAGTTAGATGTTTTAAGTTGAAGTTAAAACAAACTTATCAAGACAATAATACCAAAGGGATATGGTAAGGAACATAGCCATAACATTGCAAATATCATACCAAGATATGAACAAGTGCTAGTATGCACACCCATAAACTTAATAACATAAATTTATCAACAAAAGTAAAATTTCAGGTTTGATGCACTTTAAATATTGCAATTAAAGAGGCATTTTTAGATTTTTCCTAAACTTGTCCTTCCTATGGTTTGTAGAAAATTTTATCTAGTTTGCGGAATATTTTTCAGAAGTGGCATAACTTTCCTAGATTTTTAGTTATTTAAGAAATATTCCAGCGTTGTCCAAATTCGTCAATTGTTACGAAAATCAGGTTTTCTCTCAAACCGCTCACTCTTTTTCGAATAAAATTTTTTTTCATTAAAACTAACACTTCAAGGAAAATTTTGACATAAAAAAATGAAGTTAAAGATTTTTCTAGAATTTTTTGAAGTGGCCTATAAATGCCGATTCTTTGAGCACAAAACTTAAAATAAGAGAAAAAGTAAGAAAAGAGGATAATCATGGATAATTTTTCACTTCTACTGTGATAAAAACATGATAAATAATATATATTAAATTCAAAATTTTGTATTGAAGGTGTGCCTTTGGAAATTATATGAGATAGGTATACAAATAAAAAAAATAAAAAAGGGATAGTTTTGTACTTATTAAGAGAAAACACAAGTAAGGGTGGAATGAGGATCAACTCTTTTCATTTTTAACATAAGAACACCATTAAAACATATCTGAAAATAATGTTTAGAACCTCTAAGAACATGTATTTGAAAGAGGAGAATAAAAGGGAGGGTTGTGTTGTGGCTTACTTGAATGCCTAGTGAAGTGTTTGTTCAATTTCTTCCCTTTTTCCTCTCCTTCACCACCAAAGCTCTCTTCTCTCTCTCTTTCTCTCTCTCTCTCTCTCTCTCACACACACACACACACAGTCGAATGTAGGAGTGTAGGGATGTGTTTGTACTTCAAAAATGAGCCATGAAAACAATCACCATAATAAGAACTGCAACTTCAACCAGGCAAACTATCCCTGCGATGCCGCAAAGGACACTAAGAGAAAGTAGAATACCCGAATAGGCATCACCATGGTCTTCAAAATCCCAATCTATTGCATTCTTAGCGAGATCCATGACGAGGCATACATCCGGTGACCGACTAAGCTGGGAGATGCCCAAAGGGGCTTTAACCCTCGATACCACTGCACCTACCATGACGAGCAAGGACATCGCACAAAAGATTGTGTACCTTTGAAGCAGCACTTGGAAGAATTGGTGGTCGCTGGGTATTTGGACCAGTACATCGATAGAGGCGTTAAGGCCGAACTTCAAGGCCAAGTTGAACCTAACGGCTTAGCCACCTTGGGCACCCATCCCCAAGGTGTGATCAACGTAATCCATGGGATCATCGAACCAACGCGGGTATGCGAGCTTAGAGAGATGATCAAGAAGGCTAAACACATAAGGGAAGTTCTATCTCTCCAGCCCGTCGTGAAGAGGGGCAAGGCCGAAGTGCAAGATGTTCTCACTTTCTCTAGTACAGATCTAGAGTAAATCTAAACCCCACACAACGAAGTGCTGGTTGTCACGCTGCGCGTCAAAGCCTTCGATATTAAACTCTTTTTAATCGACCAAGGCAGCTTGGTCGAAATAATGTATTATGACGCTTTGAAGCAGCTTAAGCTAGAAGACAAAGACTTCGCCCTAGCAACCTCACCACTGGTTGGCTTCAACTCACAACCAGAATGGCCAGTTAGGAAGATTATCCTATCGGTCAAAGCGGGGTCTGTCGTCAAGCAAGTAGAGTTCTGGGTATTAAAGGTACCCTCGACTTAAAACATGATCCTAAGCAAAGGCTGGTAATTTATTGAGTAATTTATTGGCAATTTACTAGGAATTTTCTGAGCAATTTACAGGGAATTTACTGAGAATTTACTGCGATTATACTGAGTTATTTATTGGGAATTTACTGAGTAATTTATTGAGAATTTACTAATAATTTACTGAGTAATTTACTGAAAATTTACTGAGAATTTACTGAGAATATACTGAGTACTTTACTGGGAATTTACTGAGCAATTTAATGGAAATTTACCGCGAATTTATTGGGTATTTACTGGAAATTTACTAAGTAACTTATTGGGAATTTACTGAGTAATTTACTGGGAATTTACGGGAATTTACTAGGAAATTATTGAGAAATTTTCTGGGAATTTACTGAGAATTTGCTAAAAATTTACCGGGAATTTAGTGAGTAATTTGTTGGGAATTTACTCAGAATTTACTGGGAATTTATTAAGTAATTTACTGAGTAATTCACTAAGAATTGATTAGGAATTTAATGAGTAATTTACTGGAAATTTACTCAGAATTTACTAGGAATTTATTGAGTAATTTACTGGGAATTTATTGGAATTTACTGGGAACTTACAGAGAATTTACAGAGAATTTACTGGGAATTTAATGAGAATTTACTGAGAATTTTCTGAGTAATTTTCTGGGAATTTACTGAGCAAATTACGGGAATTTACTAGGTAATTTCTGAGAAATTTACTAGGAATTTACTGAGAATTTAGTCGGACTTTTCTGAGTAATTTACTGAGAATTTACAGGGAATTTACTGATTAATTTACTAGGAATTTACTAAGGAATTTACTGGGAATTTAGTGAGTAATTTATTGAGCAATTTAATGGGAATTTACTTAGTAATTAATTGAGAATTTACTGAGTAATTTAATGAGAATTTACTTGAAATTTATTGAGTAATTTACTGGGAATCTACTGAGAATTACAGAGAATTTACTAGGAATTTACCGAGTAATTTACTTGGAATTTACTGAGAAGTTACTGGAAATTTATTGAGTAATTTATTGGGAATTTACTGGAATTTTCTGAGCAATTTACTGGGAATTTACTGAGAATTTCTGCGAATTTAATGAGTAATTTATTGAGAATTTACTACGAATTGTCTAGAAATATACTGAGAAATTTACTTGGAATTTACTGAAGAATTTAATGGAAATTTACAGTGAATTTACTGGGTATTTACAGGGAATTTACTAAGTAATTTACTTGGAATTTTCTGAGAATTTTTTGAGAATTTATGGGGAATTTACTAGAAAATTACTAAGAAATTTTCTAGGAATTTACTTGGAAATTTATTGAGAATTTACTAGGAATTTAATGAGTAATTTACTGAGAATTTACAACGTAATTTACTGGAAATTTACAGAGTAATTTGCTGGAAATTTGCTGAGAATTTAATAGAAATTTACTGAGTAATTTTCTGAGAATTTACTGGCAATTTATTGAGTAATTTACCCGGAATTTACTAAGAATTTATTGAGTAATTTACTGAGAATTTACTGGGATTTTACTGAGTAATTTATTGAGAATTTACTGGGAATTTACTAAGTAATTTAGTGGAAATTTACTGTGAATTTATTGAGAAATTTACTGGGAATTTACTGCAAATTAATGAGAAATTTACAAATAATTTAATGAGAATTTACTGAGAATTGACTAGGATTTTATTGAGTAATTTACTGAGAACTTATTGGAATTTACTGAAAATTTACAATGAATTTACAGAGTAATTTACTTAGAATTTATAAGGAATTTAATGAGTAATTTACTAAAAATTTACTGAGTAATTTAATGGAAATTTAATGATTAATTTACAAGGAATTTACTCAGAATTTACTGAGTAATTTACGGGAAATTTACTGAGTAATTTACAGAGAATTTAATGGGAATTTACTAAGTAATTTATTGAAAATTTACTAAGTAATTTACGGAGAATTTAATGGGAATTTATTGAGTAATTTACTGGGAATTTACTATGTAATTTACTGGGAATTTACAGCGAATTTACCGAGTAATTTACTGAGAATTTACTAGGAATTTACTAAGTAATTTATTAGGAATTTACAAGGAATTTACTGAGTAATTTACTGAGAATTTACTAGGAATTTACTCAGTAATTTATTAGGAATTTACTGGGAATTTACTGAGAATTTATTAAGTAATTTAATGGGAATTTACTCAGTAATTTAATAGGAATTTACTCAGAATTTACAGAGTAATTTATTAGGAATTTACTGAGTAATTTACAGAGAATTCACAAGGAATTTACTGAGTAATTTACTGGGAATTTACTGGCAATTTAATGAGTAATTTACTGGGAATTTACAAACTAATTTATTGGCAATTTATAGGGAATTAACTTAGTAATTTACTGGGAATTTACTAAGAATGTTCTGAGTAATTTACTGGGAATTTACTGAGCAATTTACGGGGAATTTACTGGGAATTTACTAGGAAATTTCTGAGAAATTTATCAGGAATTTACTGAGAATTTACTCAGAATTTTCTAAGTAATTTACTGAGAATTTAGAGGGAGTTTACAGACTAATTTACTATGAATTTACTAAAGAATTTACAGGGAATTTAGTGAGTAATTTACTCAGAATTTACTAAGTAATTTAATGGGAATTTACTGAGTACTTAATTGAGAATTTACTGAGTAATTTACTGAAAATTTACTGAGTAATTTACTAAGAATCTACTGAGAATTATAGAGAATGTACTGGGAATTTACTAAATAATTTACTTGGAATTTTCTGAGAATTTACAGAGAAGTTACTGGGAATTTATAGAGTAATTTATTGGGAATTTACTGGGAATTTTTTGAGAAATTTACTGGGAATTTACTGCAATTTTACTGCGTAATTCATTGTGAATTTATTGAGTAATTTACTGAAAATTTACAACGGATTTACTAAGTAATTTACTAGGAATTTACTGAGTAATTTACTGGGAATTTACTAAAAATTTACTGAGTAATTTACTGGAAATTTACTAAAAATTTACTGAGTAATTTACTGGGAATTTACTAAGAATTTACTAGGAATATACTAAGTAATTTATTAGGAATTTACTGAGCAATTTAATGGAAATTTACTGCCAATTTACTGAGAATTGACTAGGAATTTACTAAGTAATTTACTGGGAATTTTCTGAGAATTTTCTGAAAATTCACTGGGAATTTACAGGGGAATTGCTGAGAAATTTTCTAGGAATTTATTGAGAATTTTCTAAGAATTTTTTGGGAATTTACTGAGAATTTACTAGGAATTTGCTGGGAGTTTACTAACTAATTTACTGGGAATTTACTGAGAAATTTATTGAGAATTTACTTGGAATTTACTGAGTAATTTACTGCATAATTTACTGAAAATTTACTGAGAATTTACAAAGTAATTTTCTGAGAATTTACTGGTAATTTAATAGAAATTTACTGAGAAATTTTCTGAGAATTTACTGGCTATTTACTAAGTAATTTACTGGAAATTTACTGAGAATTTACTAAGTAATTTACTGAGAATTTACTGGGAATTTACTTAGTAATTTAGTGGGATTTTACTGAGTAATTTATTGAGTAATTTACTGAGAATTTACTGAAAATTTACAGGGAATTTACTTAGCAACTTACTAGGAACTTACTGAGAATTTCCTGGTAATTTACTGAGAAATTAATGAGAAATTTACGGGGAATTTAATGAGAATTTGCTGAGTTATTTACTGAGAAGTTATTGGAATTTATTGGGAATTTACAATGTAATTTACTAAGTTTTTACTAGGAATTTAAAGAGTAATTTATTGGAAATTTACTGAGTAATTTACTGAGACTTTGCTGAGTAATTTACTAGGAATTTACTCAAAATTTATTAAGTAATTTAGTGTGAATTTACTGAGTAATTTACTTGGAATTTACTAAGAATTTTCTGGGAATTTAGTGAGTAATTTACTGAAAATTTACTGGCAATTTACTGAGTAATTTACTGGGAATTTACTAAGTAATTTACTTAGAATTTACTGGGAATTTACTGTGTAATTTAAAGAGAATTTACGGGAAATTTACTGAGAATTTACAGAGTAATTTATTGAGAATTTACTGAGCAATTTACGAGGAATTTACTGAAAATTTACTAGGAATTTACGTGGAATTTACAGAGAAATTTACGGGGAATTTACAGAGAAATTTACTGGAATTTACTTGGAATTTACTGGAAATTTACTGAAAATTTACTGAAATTTATTGACTAATTTACTAGGAATTTATTTGGAATTTAATGGGAATTTACAGCGCATTTACAGAGTAATTTATTGACAACTTATTAGTAATTTACTGAGTAATTTATTGGGAATTTACTGGGAATTTTCTTAGT